AGAGCTCTGAGGCCGGTCGTAAGGGCTCACACGAAGCTTGCTAGGCTCCGTGGGTTCTTCTGTTCACTCACTCACACGAAGTTTGCTAGGCTCCGTGGGTCCGGTTCTCTTGCGCGCGGGAAGGGATACGTCTGGATTGCGCTCGGCGACGGGGAGAGGCTAGAGGTTGATCAGACCTCTGTTGCCTGCTTTAAATGCACTGGGTTCGTAAGGATCCGCAGCGCTTAGAGATCTTCACACAGCGTGAAGTCTCCTCCTCCCTTGTTCGTGGAGTCCTCCAACTTGGGCGGAAACCACTCAAGCCTCTTATACGGCTAGCAAGCCAATCACTAGCCGCCACGTGGGAATAATTTAGAACTGGCCAATAATGGGACTCGAATTAGCATACAAATGGCAGGAACTCTTTGCAACGAGCATTTCTGTGCTGCAACAAAGAAATGCACCCTGCAAAGAAAGCTTCAAATTGGCGGGAAATTCTCCCTTGCACCGGGGTTCTCTTTTGCAGGAGAAAACTCCACCGTGCAAGGAAGCTGCAATTTAGCGGGAACAATTTAGCAGTGCCGAAGCACACAAAAACAAAAATCACACCCTTTGGGTTGTGACATAAAGTAGTTCACTGATTTCTGCAGGGTCCTTTGGCAGAACTAAGGAAGTGGAGGGATTGGGGGAGTGATGTTTTTATACCCATCCCTTATTCTGTTAGGTTCATGTGTTAATAAGGATTGGCATGAAGGGTTGGTATTCATTGAGTTCCCTGCATATGCATGGTACCTGGTAAGCAGGGAAGAAGAATTTAGACAAGCAGCATACCAATGCAAAGCTTGGGGCATACAAGCCAAGGAGCAGACAGTGCTGGAAGTGGGACCAGTATTGCCATGGTAAGCAGATAGCCAGAGGTTTATTACTGTTAAGCACTGATGTTTTGTTCGGAGCTGTTATTATAAGGCATAAAATAGATTCCAGCCCTGAAGATCTCATTAGCTGACATATTTTGTGAGGCTGCAAGACCCTAGTTGTGGGGTATAGACTGAAAATGGGTGGCTGAAGGGTGGAGGAGAGAGAGAGAAGGGGAGCAGTAGGGAGTTTGCAGCAGTGGTGCTGAAATGCAGCAGTGACTCCTGTACACATGCAGAGGTAGGGGTGCACTGATAGAGATTTTGGGGGCCAATACCAATAGCTGATTTTTAAGGAGGCATATCGGCCAATACGTATTGGAAAAGATATCATAGCCGGGCAGCTTGAAGAGCTGTGTGCATCTGGTAAGGCCAGGGGTGGGCAAAATGCAGCCCATGGGCCAGATGTGGCCCACCAGGCCATTATGTCCAGCCCGCGGGGCCCCTGGCTGCCTGTCATGTGGCCCTTGATGGCTTGCCAAAACTCAGTAAATGGCCCTCTGCCTGAAATAATTGCCTGCCCCTGGGTAAGCCTGTTGTGGAAGGGGATGGGGAAGGGAAGAGGCATGGCGGGGGGCAGATCAAGGACCCTGCGGTGAGGGAGGAATGGGCTGGGGCTGGAGCAGGGGCTGGGGCAGCGATTGCGTAGCCGGGATGGGGTGGGACGTGGGACGGAGCTGCAGCTTGTCCAGGGGTTGCGGGGATGGGGGTGGTGGCTCCCGCCGCTGTGCGCATCCTGGGAGGGCATGGGGGGGCTTGTGCCCCCAGATTGGTGTGCAGGGCAGGGCGAGCTGCAGGCTGGGGCCGGGGCTGTGCTGGGCTCTTCCCGGTGGGGGCTGGGTCAGGCTGCGCTCGGGGCGGGTGGTGGTGGCACTGGAAGGGGGCCTACAGAGAGGGGGGCCTGCAGCCACCCCAAAATTTGCTGTAGCCCCTCCTTCCCCCCCAGTCCCCCTCCCAGCGCTGGTGTCGCCTGCCCCAGCCCACAGCGGCAGCTCATCTCACCCCGTCCCACACAGATCGGGGGGCACATGCCCCCCCAGGCCTTCCTGGGGTGTGTGCAATGGCAGAAGCCACACCCCCTCCCTGTGCCCTCCGGTTGGTTCAGCTGCGGCTCCGTCCCATGCCCTACCCTGCCTGGGCAGCGCCTGCCTCAGCCCACTCCCTCCCTCACCATGGGGGCCTTGATCCTTCTCTCCCCCTCCCCTTCCACCACAGCAGACTTACCAGCTGCACGCAGTTCTTCAAGCTGCCGGGCTGTGCTCCTCACCGCCTATGTGCTGTGCTGTGGCTGCATCCATGAATGGGCATTCATTGGTCAAATTATTGGCCACATCAAACCGATTTCCCATACAGTTGATTTTCTTGATATCGGTGCTGATCTGTTATCGGACCGATGTATTGGTGCACCTCTACAGAGAGACTGCTCTAAAGCACTGTAATTACAGCGTGCTGGAGCAGACTTGATTGAGTCTGCTGGAGCGCGGTAATTAGTAATTACCGCACTCCAGCAGACTCTACTGTCATGTGCATCAGTGCCCCCACGCTGAAAATTGGTGGCGGGGGTGCTTTACACTAAAGTTGGTTCAAGAAGCTTTAGGTAGAGCACCTGCAGTGACATTTCAGTGCGGGGACGCTGATGCACGTGACACTCCAGGCATTTTAATTAGTGTGGTTATTGGAGCCGTGCTAATTAAAGTGCCCCCCCCCCAGCCTCCCAGAGCATGTCTATTAATGCCCTATGATCCTTTGAATATTGGTGTAGTAAAAGCAAGGGGCAGTACTAAACTGTTCCTATTAGCAAGTGAGAGCTGTAATATTTTTTTCTTCATCTTTCCAGCTTCTATTCAAATGCATTTTTCACAAAATCCTCTCATTTGTGTTGCCCCAAAGGATTTCACTGCCATATTCATGTTTCAGAAGGTGAGGTAAGAGCCGCTCTGGGACACACCTCTTTGTGTGCTATTTTTCACGTGGTACAGAAATGTGTGCATGAATTACGGTAGAACCATAACCGTTCGCCCCTCCGTCGCACGGGTATCGCAGCCTACGTGCTCTTTTATGACAAGGCTGTTTAGCTTACAGGCGTCTGTGGGCCACACCAGTGAGGGCCACATGTCTTCTGGACCATGCCAGGGCAAGCCTTGGGCCCCTGGGCTGTGTGGGTGCCCCCACTGCTGCATTGCACACCTGTGTGGACACCCCCCCTAAGCCACTGCATTTTAGGATCTTAATAAAGCTAGTCTGATTGTAGTTTGGACACTTCTGTTTTGCCCATTTAAACTCTCCCTGCAATTTTAGTTGGATTGTGATATTTTACACTTCCTTTCCCACACCATTATGTACTACAGCGTCCCTGCTGCATTTCACCCTATAGACCTAATATTTGCACATCAGCAGTGAATAAAATGATTCCCATGTTCATAAAATTAGTAATATTTTTGTGCGTTGGGGTCAGAGGTTGCATTTAAACATAGGTGTGGCAGAAGGCGATGTCTGAAGCATTGCTTGCAAAGTTAAACCATTAAAAATGCCAGTCAACTTTTCTGGCAACGCTTAACTATTTGCTTGATGAAGATGGATTGCTATATCCTTAGAAAAAGGATGCTAAGTGGCAGTTGATTAACAACATGCGCAGTCCCGTGGCTCGCTGAGGGCCGTGTGCTGTTAAGTGTGAATGGATTTGATCTCCTTTTGGTTCCAAGAGGACAGATGTCCACATTACTCAAAATGCTGCAGTTGGCACTAGCTGAAATCCTTCTTTTGGTCGTGTTGTGCATTAGAAATGCATAAAGGAGGTGACTTTAAAGGTCAGCATACGTGGCCCCAGGGAAAGGTGAGAGCTGTCCTGTAAACTGAAAAGCGTCAAGGTCTTCATGTGCAATTATAAGAAAAAATGTATGACACAGAATGTGTTTGTTCAAGTGAAACGTATGTGTTTCCGCTTAGGGAATTAAACTCCGGGAGTGTTCAATTTTATTAAAAAAAAAAAAAAAAATTTGACCACTTTTTACTAACTGTAGTACTAATTATTCCACATTTCACTAGGAAAGCTTGGTGGGGGGGAGGGCAGGGCACAGTTGCATACGGGTGTGTCTGTACTGGGAGACTATATCTTGAGTCCGCGGAGGGAGCTCGTGCCTTTAACTGTAATCTGGACATTCCTGAAACCCTTGTTGAGGCTACAATTGCTTTTGGTTTACCCTGGGGATTAGGCTCTGTACATCAATTAAGAACTAGTGCCACCCGAGCCCTTCTGAAGCATTGTGCGCCTTGTGTGAACTCCTCCAGGGTTTCATCGACGGCTTTCCTGTGGTATTTGTGCCTTGCCACTTCAAACAGCTGTATTCGCCAGCATGCACACTGGTCTTTTCATTGTTTTCTTTTGTAATTTGAATTGTTTTCAATGGACTCAAAGCTGGTAGCAGCTTTTCAGATCCCGTCATTTATTTAACCTGAATATGGACAGCGTGAAGTTCTTCCCCCGGGTGCCTTCGCCAGCTGTATGGAGGGAGGAAGGGTGGAGCGTGGCATGTTCCAGCTTTGAGTCTTGCTAGCAAGAGCGGTGGTTGAAACGTGTAACTTGGAAAAAAAATTCAGGCTTGTCTCCATGGGGAACTTTGTTCAGAATAAGGCAGAGCCTGAATTTAAAGCCCTCTATTAATTTCAGGTCGAGGGGAACAACCCTCACTTTTTCTGCAATAAGAATGGCTCTTGTGCAATAGCTAGTTTGGGCTTTTTTCCTGTGGAAGCAAGCCCAAAGACCACCAGCTTAGCTTTTATGCACCACTGAACAACAGACCAACACCAGAGACTTTGTGGCTGCATTTGATTTGTGGCATGCCATACCAGCGAGTTACCGTTGTGTCGCGCCCTCCGAGTCCCCACCCCGTCTTACCTGCATGCAGCGATAGCTTGTCTGCTGTGGGTTTCTCAAATGAAGTTCATGTACTTTCCGTCAAAATTTATCTTGGTAAAAATATTCCCTGTCCTCCTAAGCAATACCCATCACATTGGGCTCCCTTTTTCAATTAGTAGTAATGCAGTACTACCATTTAAATACTTCTAACAGTGCTAATAATAGAAGGGGAAAATGCTCTTTCTCTACAGAACTGGTGACGCTAGTTGCTTTGGATCAAGAGGCTATCTAGATCGGAGGAGACCAACCCATGGCACGCATGCCGCATGTGGTACGGGCAGCCGCTCTGTGTGGCACATGGGTGAATCGGGGAGGGAGCGGGCAGCACAGCAGTAGATAGGGCAGGAAGCAGAAAGCAGAGCAGCAGGTTGGGCTGGGAATGCAGGGCAGAGAGCAGAAAGCAGAGCAGCAGTCAGGCAGAGGAAGGGGATCAGAGTGGCACTGAGGGACGCCTGCCAGGAAGGTTGACCCCACCAATGGAGATCGTCATCTGATCTGTCCTTCCCAGGCGTAGCACTGTATGCGCTTGTCTCTACTGAATCGAATCTTGTTGATTTTAGATTACCTCTCTTGATTTTTTTTTTCCAGGGTTATTTTGAATTCTGATCCTGTCCTCCAAAGCACTTTCGGCTCTTCCTGAAAATCTGTCATCCGCATACTTTATGAGCGTGCTCTCTATTTCATCACCTGCCTTGTTAATGAAAACGTTGACTAGACCCAGGTGCAGGACAGACCCCTGTAGGCCTGTACTTGATAAGATGTCTCATTTTGAAAGTAAGATTTTAACATGTACTTTAAGAGCAGTCTTTGCACCCACCCCCTGGTGTTTATGCCTGGATAATCTTCCTTCTGTTTGCTTATAAAATGTAGTGAAGGGCACTGAAAAATGTAATAATTTGTTCCTTACATCCTTTGTCAAGTATTGAACAAAGTACCAGCAAAGAATATCTCCCTCTGTCTGTATCGGTCATATCTGAACACTACCCTTTTCATTGATTTTTTTTCCCAAGGTGGAAAGGGACCAGAATGATGATGAGGTCTGCCCCATTCACACAGGAGATAGAAACATGTGAGTTAAACCAGTTTTTTCACAACTTTCATAACAGGACAGCTGCCACCTGACGACTCCAGAAGATCAAGAGGAAGCTGGCGTGGTGCCACTCTGGGCTTGTAATAAAATTAAACTATTATACAAATGTAGTCTTCAAAGCAGCCTTTGAACCAATACCAATCCCCCTTCTGCAAATGCTTGAGAAATAAGAAACACATCAAATCTGGACCAGATACTGGGCAATTGCTTTCGCTGCCTACGTGCTATTACTTGCATCTAGCTGGTTGTCTAATTGGATAATGGGCACTACACTTCACGACTCTATAAGCATATTATGTTCAGTCTGCTTTGAAGTGGGGCAATGCAAATGTTTACAAATAATCAGCAGAGGACTAAGATGTCACTTTGCGTGCTGCATCACTTCACTTCTCCTGTGAGCTGCCCTGGGCAGGGAGCATACATCTGTGTCTGTACTTCTTAGATGAGCTTTTTAAAGTCCTAAACTGGGAACTCTAAGCATTATTAGATCCTGTCCATGCTTCTGGTACAGTTATGTTTTAAGAACTAAACTTGATTGTAAAATGCTTTTATTAAAAGTGTACGGTGCCACACAACAATTTAAGCTCAGTTTAGAGAGCACAGAAGAATACCATATAATAACATGATGCCCTGATATACTACACTTTGCATTGCATGTAAACCCAGAGCTGTTTCATGGAAGAAAATGCAGTGTAAGCAGGCCCAGAACACCTGCAAAGACCCAAGTATGCTTATTGAAACCATTTGGCACCTCCAGAAATACTCAAGTATTTTTCTTTCCATACTGAGATAGAAGATGATGGCGTATAAAAGACGTACCTGTTTGAAAAGTGTTATAGATGGAGTCAGGGGTGTAGGCTGTAGCCGTGTTGGTCTAAGGACATAGGCAGACAAGGTTCCTTGGGTGAATCTGATATCTTTTATTAGACCAACCCAAATGGTTGGAAAATAATTATTTTTCTGCTTGTCTGCTTATAGATGGAGTGACATGTATGAGTGCAAGCATAAGACAAAATGAAACTTCTAGGAACAGTTAATTTGATATATTTTTGGATAGACGTGAGTGCTGTTTGTTTTTTTAAATACACAACCATCCAGCACACATTTTAATAGGAGAACCCTTTTCAAGCGGCCCAGGTCCATACTAAAGGCATGTCTGTGCTGGGAGGGCCAGGTCTTATTTTACATGAGATGCCCGAGAGGATTTAGGTGTCCACCTGTGATTCTGTTCCACCCAGCACGAGATTCGGAAAAAACACTCGTGTCTCTTTTTGTAACTTGAAGAAGGGCTAAATACTGTTTCACTTTATGTACCTAAATGGCACACGTACAGTCACACACCTGCAGATTGGGGCATTTATGCAGAGTTTGGAGTTCTGTTTTGTGCCGTGGCGGGGTCGGGCCTCCTACCTTTTAGCCTGCTAGCCTAGTGCCCAGGGTACTTGCCCAGAGAACTTGGGACCTAAATTCTTGGTAAGCCTCAACCAGAGGTGTTTTGAACTTGCATTCCCCAGCAAAGTATTTAGACCACCAAGACACAGACTAGGCAATGCCCAGCCTCCTCTTGAAGCTGACTCACTGCACCTTGCATTTATTATTCATAGGCTAAGATGGGTGGAGAGCAGTGGAGAAGTTCCCATTGGGCACAAGTGTGCTGACTAGAGCCCTCTTCCATCCAGGGCAGCATCCATCTCTCAGAACCACACACACTCCGGCGTGCTCCTTTCCTTGTCACCCCACATACTTATTTTGGCTGCCCAGGGAGCCAGCTTCAAGAAGAGGGCAGGAGAAGGGTCAGGATAATATCTAAGCTGGGGTCTGGTGGGAAGAGCTCTTGGCTGAAAGCAGGAGATGCAGGTTTAAATCCTCATGGGGGAGAGGAGGGGCCAGTGTCCTGCTTCCTGGGTAACTGTCCTAACCACTTAGCTGTCGGGGCTATGACGTGGGAAGAGTCCTGTGCTGCTTGACACCCACTTGTGATTTTTCTGTAATTAAAATTTCGGGTATTTCAGGGATTACCTGCCCGTATGACCATACCTGGATGACCTTGTTTCATCACATAGCCTCCTGGCCACAGGGGAACCCTAATGAGAGTGCGTACATGCTTGAAGTCTCAGAGCAGAATTGCCTACTGTGTCTAAGGGCCAAAAACTACAATTATGCTGAGACACAAGGGCCGTTTGAGCACATAAAGTGAAACAGGATGGAGCTCTATTCCAAGCAGCTGACTGCTTTGAGATCAGAGACCTTCATCACTCAACAGGTACAGCGCTGGTACCAGCTGTGCAAAGTTCCTCCCTAAGGGGTGCGTCTACATGAGATGCTACTGTGCAGTAGCACTGGCGGGCAGCTACTGTGCAGTAGCATCTGGGAAAAAAACTGGTTACTGTGCAGTCATTTAATACTTGGTTATGCAAGTACTAAATGACTGTGCAGTAACAACTGTGCAGACTGCTGCTTGTGTAGATGTGGTCAAGGTGTCTTCACTCTGCTCCATAGAGAAAGGATGGATGGAGTCTCTGCTGTATTCCAGCTTTGTCTTCTGAGATTTGCTAACAAGGGTGTTGGTAGAGATGTGTAACAGGAGAAAGGATTCAGGTGCCTCTCCATGGGGAACTTAATCCATGACAAGGTAGGGCCTCAATGTGAAGCCTGGGAGCTCCCCCTTAAAATGGAAAAAGACACTCTTTTTTTGGAATAAGTATGTCCATTAGAGAGCCTCTTGTGGAATAATTTACTGGGATCTATTTTTCCTGTATGGACAAGCCCTAAGACTATCAACTTAGTTTCTGTAAGCCACCGAACAGCTGTCAAATGCTGGAAACTTTGTGGCTGCTGATGTAGACCTCATTTGAACATGCAGCTTATAGTAAAAGTGAATTATAGCTCTATATTATTCAGTAATGGTTTGTCCGAATCGGGTTAATCAACTGATGGCCGCACGCTTTCCGCTAGAATTCATCTTGATAATGTCTTCTGTGCTGTCCCAAACTAAAGCCAAATGAGTATGACTCTTTCTGATGAATTGGACTTTCCCCACTGCCAGCTTTCATTAATAACATCATACAGGCTAACCAGCTGTACAGTGCAGTTAATAGAAGGGAGAAGAGTAGAAATGGTAAGAGAATTCAGAAATGGAGTGGAGTATTACATTGCCCACATGACTTATTTCATTAGCTGTGTCTCGGGGAACAATACTGGCAACCAATATCTCACTCTACCTGCATCGCTGTTACTTGGACACACTTAAAATTTTCATGGATGTATTTGGTAGCTTTATTGATCTGAGACAAAAAAGAAATGCAAAACTCTAGAACGTTTGGGTCAGAGATGATACCTTTTATTAGGCCAACTAAGAAATTGCAAAATATGTCTTTTTCTGCAAGCTTTTTCATAGAGTTTTTCAAGGCCAGGGTGACTGTGTTGGTAGTTTTGTCTGACCAAAGAATCTCACTCCAAAACTTCATCAAACCTGTAGCTTCTATCTGAGCACAGTCACCAGTTTTAGACAAAATGTTTCAGTATGTTTATTACATATGCCTAACCAACCTGATTTTCTTCTCTAACAAGGTGCTGGGCTTTGGGGATGGTGAGAAGGCAATGGATGGAATAGACCTCAACTTCAATAAGAAGTTATTTTTTAGTGTGTTCCAGTATAGTCTAGATCAATATAGCCTAGGTATTAGCAGACTATGTATTCCAATATAGTATAGATCAATATAGTCTGGATCCCAACCTCAAGTCATGACCCAAACGAGGGTCGCGGGGGCAATGCTGGCGGCGTTGCACAGAAGAAAGGAGACGTGCTGTGCGCTGGGAGCTCCCCTGCCTCTGTCCCCTAGGCTGCCCCTGCCGCCGCCGCCACTGTACTTTGCTCCCAGCAGTGGGATGTGGAAATAAAAAAGGTTGGGAACCACTGGTCTAGATTAAACTAGTATAAGGCAGGGGGGTGCTTAAGTAGTAGGATAAGTGTGTTTAGTGACTAGTTAGGATCTCAGTGTTAGCCTGGGAGGAGGTGTCAAGTTGGGTACTGGAGAAGTCTGTCCTGAGCCACTGCTGTTCAATATCGTCATTAATGACTTGGAGGATGGAAATGAATGTACAGGTGATATCAAGTTGGGTGGGCTAGCAGATGCTTTGGAGAATGGGGGTATACTCACAGGAGTCACAGGATGCGACTCTTCTCCTCCTCAAGAGTTGTGAGGCTTCACCTGGAGTGCTGGCTCCAGGTTTTGGGCACTGTGTTTCAAGAAAGGCACGGACAAATTGCAGAGTTCACATAAGAGCAAAAACATGATTAGAGGTCTGGAAAATGTGACATGCAAGGAATAGCTGGAAGAACTGGGATTATTTAGTTTAGAGAAGAGAAGATGGAGAGGGGATTTGGCAGTATTGCTGTTGCAGCCACAGTGGCGAGGGAATATGCGAGAAGCAAGGCTTGTCAGGCGTAGTATCTTTTATTGGAAGAACCATATAATTGGGAGAGACGTTACACAAGCTTTTGGGCACAAAATGCTTTTCCTCAGGTCTGGAAGAGCAGATACAGCCTAAGCTAAACACCAGGCCGACTCATTACTTTTGGTTAACTTTTATCAGGATTGTGGTAAAGGGGATCTTGATCGGTTGTCTTTTGTGTTCACTGAGGGCAGAACAAGAAGAGATGGGCTTAAATAGTAGCAAGGGAGATTCAAGTTAGATATTAGGAGGACAAACTGAGAGTACGGTAATTAAGCGTTGGAACAGACTGCCTACAGGGGTTACTGAATCCCCATCATTGGTAGTTTTCAGTGCGGACAACACAAATTGGCTGTCTGGGATTAGACAGGGCTGATCCTGCCTTGAGCTGGGAGTTGGTCTTCCCAAGGTCCCTTCCAGCTCTATTTTTCTATTATTCTGTTACATATTTTAGAGATGGCAAGGTCTTTGGATTGGAACATGGTGAAGCTTGTGATGGCCTTTCATTTCTGGGGATCTTATTT